AACAACCAGAACTGACAGAAAATTGAACTATATGGAAGTCCAACAACCAAGGAGTTAAAATAGACACATTCATTCAGACCTGTAGGCGGGGTGGAGTCGGTCAGCGGAGCAGAGAGGGGTCAAGGCACAAAAAGCGGTGGCACTGGGCATGCAAAACAGAAGCGAGCAGACCCCGGGTGTGCAGGTAGTGGCTGACAGACCCCAGGCATGGGGTGGCAATCGGCAGACCCAGCAAGGCGGCGATTGTGAAGTGAGGCACTGAGTGCCAGGAGGCTGGCTGACCGGGCCATCCCACATTCACTCGCGGATAAACCAGGCAAAACTGGGGAGTGAGACAGACGGAGCAACCCAGGGTCCCAGCGCCAGGAAATAGAGCCTCAGGGCACTGATTGAAAACACCTGTGGGGGTTAAGGAGCAGGGAGAGACTCCCAACCTCACAGGAGAGTTTGTTGGAGAGACCCACGGGGTCCTAGAACATACACAAGCCCACCCACCTGGGAATCAGCACCAGAAAGGCCCAGTTTGCTTGGGGGAAGCGGCAGAAGGGACTGAAATCCGACAGAGAGCGGAGCAAGTGCCATTGTTTTCTCTCAGACCCAGCCCCCACATACAATGCCATAACCCAGCAATTGGGTTGCCGCACCCTGGGGAACACCTAAGGCTCCACCCCTCATACGTAACAGGCAGGACAAGACCCCCTCCCCAAAAAATAGCCCAAACGGAAGAACAGATCAAAACTCCACAGCAAATACAACTAAGTGACCAAGAGATAGCCGACCTATCAGATGCACAATTCAAAGCACTGGTGATCAGGTTGCTAGCAGAATTGATTGAATTTTGTCTCAAATTAGTTGAAAAAAATGAAGGATATGCTAAGTGAAATGAAGGAAAATGCATAGGGAACCAATAGTGATGGGAAGAAAACTGGGACTCAAATCAATGGAGTGGATCAAAAGGAAGAAAAAAATAACCAAACAGAAAAGAATGAAGAAACAAAAATTCAAAAAAATGAGGAGAGGCTTAGGAACCTCCAGGACATCGTTAAATGTTCCAACCTTCGAATTATAGGGGTACCAGAAGGAGAAGAGAAAGAGCAACAAGTGGAAAAGTTATTTGAACAAATAATGAAGGAGAGCTTCCCCAATCTAGCAAAGGAAATAGATTTCCAGGAAGCTCAGAGAGTCCCAAAGAAGTTGGACCCAAGGAGGAACACACCAACGCACACCATAATTACATTATCCAAAATTAAAATTAAGGAGAGAATCCTAGAAGCAGCAAGAGAAAAGGAGACAGTTACCTACAAAGGAGTTCCCATAAGACTGTCAGCTGATTTCTCAAAAGAGACCTTGCAGGCAAGAAGGGGCTGGAAAGAAGTATTTCAAGTCATGAAAGACAAGGACCGACATCCAAGATTGCTCTATCCAGCAAAGCTTTATTTAGAATGGAAGGGCAGATAAAGTGCTTCTCAGATAAGGTCAAGTTAAAGGAGTTCATCATCACCAAGCCCTTATTATATGAAATGTTAAAGGGACTTATCTAAGAAAAAGAAGATAAAAAAACATGTATAGTAAAATGACAGCAAACTCACAATTATTAACAACCACACCTAAAACAAAAACAAACTAAGCAAACAACTAGAACAGGAACAGAACCACAGAAATGGAGATCACATGGAGGATTAGCAACAGGAGTGGGAGGAGGAGAGAGGGGAAAAAGGTACAGAGAATAAGTAGCATAGATGGTAGGTAGAAAATAGACAGGGGGAGGGCAAGAATAGTATGGGAAATGTAGAAGCTGAAGAACTTATGACACATGGACATGAACTAAAGAGGGGAATGTGGGTGGGAGAGGGTGTGCAGGGTGGAGGGGAATGAAGAGGAAAAATGGGACAACTGTAATAGCATAATTAATAAAATATATTTTTTTAAAAAGTATTTAATTAAAGGGGCTTCCAGATAACCTTAAGAGACTTAAAAATTATTTTTAACAAGTTTAATAGTTCATTGATTTCCCAGTATAGTTAGGAGGTTGGTTTGTTTGGAAAGGTTATGTCATGACACTTCTCCAAGTACCACCGCCCCCCAAAACATATAGCCAGTGTTGGTGGTTTGAACAGGGGGAGAACCATTTTTACTGTATTCTAAGGGCTATGTCCTTTTCAGTATTGTGTGTTATGAGGGTATTGATTACAAAATCCAAAGGAACCTAGTAGTCCTGGCAGTTCACAGAGAGAAGTCTGTGTTTCCATTAGGTAAGGGTTACAACAGTATCAGGAGGTTCTCAAACACAAGACAGTTGCACAGAGGCAGTAAATTCACTGATTGGGAGAAAAGTGTTTAGCCAGACAGTAGCTTTGCTCATGCCACCATTGTGATTCATTCATTCATTCGTTCGTTCATTCGTTATTGCTTGGTAGATTTTCAACTGCAGAATGCCTGTGAACACAATAGTTTATTTCAGAAAGGAGAGGAACCTTGGGGTTCCAAGGAGCAGTTGAGCTTTGGAAGTCATTACTGTATGTTTGGCAATGCCCTTTGTGTAAGGGTTTTGATGACAGTGACAAGAGGAAGGGGACAAGCATGTTAAAGTCATTTGGCTACTTTTGAAATCAAGGTTGGGAAGAAAACATTTTCTGGCTGTAAATCACTCACTTGTCCTACATTCTTTGAAGCATTTTATACAAATGACTTTAACAGTTTTAGGGGGCATGGCTGGGGTTAAGAGACTGCCTGGTATACATTTTGATGATGAAAAAACAATCTTTTACTGAGGTGGTAGCATTTCTGTTCACATCTGCATGGTGAAACATTTGATATTTATCTGATAATCAAGGTTTTCCTCTTAAAGCAATATTGTACAAAGTGTATACTTGTTGATTTTATGTGTTACAAGGGCTATTAAAATAAATCAGTACTTAAAATGTAATAAACAACCAAAAAACCAAAAGCTATAAATAAAAATGTTAAAAAACACTGTAAAGATCGTTAACATTTTGATGAGTGATTATTGTGCTATGTACTACTGTGTTTTTGCATGCATTATTGCATTTAATCTTTAAACCCAACCATATAAGGTGTAGGGATTGTTTTCTCATTTATAACTGTTTAGCAATGAGGCTCCAAAAGGGAGTTGTTCAAGGTCACATAACCAGTATTGCTAGTGAGCTGGGAATGCAACCAGGCAGAGACCCTTGGCTTTCACAGATCCTGCTCAGGCTGAGGCTGAAGTAGTTGTGTATGATTTTTAGGTGAGGCAATCCAAAAAAACTATTTAGTAAATACTGAAATGTCTTGATGACTATGACAAAAATGCTGAAGCTGATAAGAAAGATAGATTTAGAAAGTGCCTTCAGTGATTAATGGACATATTGACTGAAATCGTACTTAAAAATAGAATAGACTCATGCAGTTATCCATTCTTATGATGTTGTATTTTGCTTTAAATGATCACCAGTCTGTTAGCCTGTGAGAGTCCACCGTAGTTTTGTGTACGTTTAGAGATTATCAAGGTGGTTCAGTGCTTTGATACATTGCTCATGACATTGCAGTGTGATCTCTGGTCAGATGCTACGTTACATGAACATCAGTATCTTCTCTGCCCTGCTACCATGGTTGTTTTTTTTCCTTTGGAGACCATGGATGGGCACTGCAGTGTCCCTGTCCCTCTGCTGATCCGTCCTCTTCTGCGAAGTAGTTATAACACTGGGTTGTACTGTGAGGTGAAAAGTGCATTATGCTTACTTGTAAATGCAGCATTGGGTGGCAGGATCTGTCTTCTTTTGCCAAGAAAAGTATTGTAGTTTTCTTGGTTTTTGTTACATACAGTCCAGCAGTTTTCATTGCCAGCAGCACAGCTCCCATTAAGGGAGAGCAAATACACAAACAACACAGGGCACTTGGAGCCAGGAAGTCCCATCTCAGACTGGAAACGTGGGAGCGGGTGGTGAGGGAGAAGGGAACCAAATGTGTGGTGACAGAGGGTGATTTGACTTTGAGTGGTGGGCACACAAAACAGTATATAGATTGTGTATCATGGAAATGCACACTCGAAACCCATATAATCTTATTAACCAATGTCACCTGAATAAATTTATTTTTTTTAAAAAAGAAACAGTTTTGGATTGACATTTGAAAGGTGGGTTGCTAAACAGGGGGTCCAACCACCAAACTGAAAACCAGTGGTGATGAGGATCACGTACATCTAGGGGAGACCCTTTAATCACGAGGTCCCTGGAAGGGGGTCAGAAGTTGATTTTGATGTTATGACGAATGGTTTCATTACAATTAAACATTCACTGTGTTTTAGGTCGGTGATGCCTTGCCGTTCATTGTTTGCGTCAGACATGTGATTAACTTTCAATGAGTTTGAAACCAACCTCTTGTTAATTGAATGTTTTGCTTTGAAACAATCCTAAGTAAATTTGGCATTAGTATTTCTAATAGTGCCTAGTTTTAAAATTGACATTTCCCCCCTGCCTTAGAACGTAAGAAGCATACCGAATTCATTCAGTCTGGAGTATTTTATGGTTTTTTCTATTTCAAAATTAATGGCATGTTACAGTAACTTACTGAAAATAATAATTTGAAAATAAAATGATAAACCCAAGTCCATTGGAGCTTTTTAAACCCGAGGAGATAAATTCATTTACAGTGGATTTGTTTAAGCTATAACTCATACTTTAAAGGCAAGAAAGAAGAAACTTTTTGACCCACTTTGTTAAGTGCTCCTAACTAAACAGCCTTGCTTTGTGGAACTTGAGGATTTGGGAATTATTGAATATTTGTAAAGATGTTCATAATTTTGGTTTTTCCTCTTTGATTTACACAGCTGGAGAATTCCTTTTCATCCATAATTTGATGTCTAAGGCATAATGTACCAATTACTGAAATTATCAAAGTTTGTAATTCCCTAGTTTTGATAATATTTTTAAAATCCCAGTGATTGTTTTGAGCACTGTGTATTTCTTCAGTTGCTGATGTCTCACTCTCGCCTGTTTCAGGACCTGCTGAGGTGCCCATGATGTCCCCCAACGGGTCCATCCCTCCCATCCACGTGCCTCCAGGCTACATCTCACAGGTGAGCCACGCGACGGGCTTTGCTGCTCGCTGTGGGCAGTGTCAGTGCCATAAGAGAGTTTGGAGTCTCGAAAACTTATCCCAGGATTCATTTAGTTAGGGGAATTCTAGAGTTATCTCCATTTTTGTGGCACCACGCAGCCCTCTCTGAGTCCTGCTGCTTGTCGTGCCGGAGAGTTAGAGGGAGGGAAATGCAGCAGGGCCACTGGGCTGCCCTGGGCCAAGGTGGGTTTCATGAAAACCTGGTTGTGATTTCTTCCGAGTCCACCGCCTTAGAGATTAATTAGTAAAAATATCAAAGGAGACACTGTTAACACAAACAGGGACTGTCCTCTGTTATGGGAGTCCCGTTTCTCCACAACGTGGCATATCCTGGGCTTGGTGAATCACCCAGTGTGATGTGAGGATTTGGCTGCTTGTGCTTAAATTTCTCCAAAATTTGATTTTCTTTTAAGTAAAATAATAGCAATTTTAAAAGTACTAGGTATACTGGAAGATTTTAAAAAATGTTAAAGGAAGAAGTTATACTCCTGTGTCCGGAGAAGGTTTAAACTGTTCCGGGTGCCTGGAATGTGGGTGTTTATATATATTTCGGTTTTTGTGCTGGGCTCAGTGCAATATGAATGTCTTCCTGCTCCTCCCTGCACACCTTTCTTTCCAAATTCCTGATCAACCATTTTTCTCTCTCTTTGCCTCTTTTGTTCTTTTTTCTCATTGTAAGAACATTCTATACTCATTGGAAAAAAATCAGAAAAGTATTACAAATATTTATCATTTTATTACCCACAGAAGATAATTGTTGTGTTAACATTTTTTGGGTTATATTGTTCCAAATTTTTTCTTCATTCTTTCTCTGTTTTTACAGTGGTCTTAAAAAATCTGTATTTTAAATTTTTAATGATTTGTTAGGATAAATTGGCAGCCACATAGGAAAATTGCTGAAGTGCAGGCAGGAATCAGAGAAGTCTTATCCTTCTCTGATGTAAAACTTACCCATTTCTTTACTCTCTAAGTCACAGTGCAGCCACTATAATTTAATTTTTTCCATCCTTAGTTTCACGTGGGCCAATTTGGCAACTTTTTTTGTTTTTGTTTTGTCTTGAGTAGCCAGGATGTGTGGCCAGCCCTCCCCGTGTTTTAAATAAATGACTTGTTTTACACAAGTCTTTGTAAAGGAGTCAGTGGAGGGAGAAAAGGGTGCAGAGCAGCCCCGTCCAGCCAGGACATGTGATGATGGATCATGTTCACATTGGCAGTCAATTAACAGAAAAGAACAAGGAATGCAGAATTCCATTGTGTCTTCTGCTCATTTATTTTGAGGAACCGTTTCATTCCATTGAACAGAGTACAGTTCTCACCATTGTCATGGCAGAAATAACACCTCCTTTTTTGCCAAAGGTCCCTTTTTTTTTTTAAAGATTTTATTTATTTATTTTTAGGGACGGAAGGGAGGGGGAGAGTGAGAGAGAGGGAGGTGGGGGAGAGAGACAGAGAGAGAGACTGAGAGAGAGAGAGAGAGAGAAACATCAGTGTGCGGTTGCTGGGGGTTATGGCCTGCAACCCAAGAATGTACCCTGGCTGGGAATCGAACCTGGGACACTTTGGTTCCCAGCCCGTGCTCAATCCACTGAGCTACGCCAGCCAGGGCTGCCAAAGGTCCCTTTAAGAAATACCAGTTAAGAGTTGAAATTCTGGTGGAGAGAAGCTGCAGTGTACTTCTTCTTGCCAGTGTGTTACTGTGATTTAATTATGAGGAAGCTGAGGCTCAGAGTAGAACCAGAATTGCAGCCTGAGAATTTTTTATTTTACTGACCTATTTACCACTGTGATGTGATCTTGAACTCAGGGGCAGAGCCTTAATGGATGTATTTGCTTAACTCTGCGTTACTTTCTGACATTGTGACCGTGGATGTGCGGTGTGCTTCCCATGTGGCTCCAGTACTAACACGTCAGCTTCTCATGTATGAGATGGTCCATTACTGTAAGAAAATTTCAGGGGAAGGCAAGTGAATGATTAAAAGTCTTACATTAGTAACTCCAAACTGAGTCAGTGGAGAAAGTCTTGATTACAATAGAGTCATTACATAATTCAATAGCTAAAACAGCTTTACAGATAAATTGGTAAAATTGATCAAACAAATTTGACAAAAGACGAATGTCAGTCATGTGCAGAGACCCTCCTACAGTAAGAGAAGGGCCTGCAGTTGAAGAGACAGATCTCTGTGGTCTGCTCTGTGGTGTAGTTCGCGTCTCAGCCTTGGGTTCTCAGGTTGAGGAGGACCAAAGCCCCGGACCTTAAAGAGAGTGTGGACTCCGGGCAGGAGAACAGTGGGGTCTGGTCACTTCACCACAGTAGGCCCTGGGGTGTGTGTGTCTTGTGCTCTACTTTTTGGTGGGAGGCTGGGGAAGGTTGGAGGAAAAAGGTGACCTGACCTTTTAACTATGAGAGAGCGGATTTAGGTAAGGAAGAATTTAGTCTTTGTTGTACTCATCATTTCCATTATGTAAAAACATTTGTGAGTGCGATAAGGGTTGAACCAGTGGGAGGAGCAGGGTGAGTACTGTGGCTGGGAAGAACAGGGACATCGATTGAAGAGGCCTGTCTTCAAAGTTCATCATGGCTGCTCTCCACGAAACTCTTACAGAGTCTTGCACCACATGTGCCACTTCCTCCCTGATCGGTGTTACGTGAGGTGTGTAACCCATGCCTCACATAACAGTGGGCATTCAATAAGTGGAAGCTGTTATGATGAAGAAGACTGTTAGAACAATTTCAGTGAAACTTGGGCAGTTTGCCTTTCTAAATACGTATTGAGATCACACAAGTATGAAGCAATTTTTTCCTTTCATTGTATACTGGCCGTGGTTCTTCTCAATTTTTAACCTCATCATTAACTTTCTGGATAATTTATGTATAAAAATTTCTTAAGCAGATGCCTTGCATTTTATTTTCCATCCTTTCATAGTAATTTATGAAACATTTTTCAAATGTTACAGGAAAAACTTCATGTGGACTAAAGATTAAAAAAGCATGTGAAAAGAAAAAATGAAATATCCAAGTTAGTGTTCTATTATTTGGGAAACTATTCTTTTCTCCCCTAGATTAATTGACGTAACCTAAGAACCTGAATAGTAGTTGAAATAAGTATTTTTTGTTATTATAGCAGAGTACATACTTTGCCTCATTCCTTCGTTTTGGGGATTAGTTAATGGGTAAACACCTGTTGAAATTATATATATATATTCTGTTTCCTTCACCTGAGAGAGATATGAAGTCTATTTAAAAATGTATTTAAATTTTGGTATGGTTGGTAATTCTCCAGTGAGGATTTTTTAAAGAGTTGGACAGAAATCAGAGACCCTATGGGGAAATTATTGGGCCTGTCCGGTGGGAGCCCTGGCGTGGTTTCCCCATTTTGCTCAGCTAGGCTATACATACTAGCCTCAGCTCTTTCCCTGTCATCATCACAACCTGGGATTAGACAAACGTTGCGTTTCTTCTTGAGTGCTGTGAAAATGATGAGCAGAAAGGAGCATGGAGGATTGCCCTGTGCCCTGGCAGACCGAGAATCAGACCCATTCGGTGCCCAAGAGCAAAGAGAGTTGGAATCTCTTACACTTCCTGTGGAGGAATCGATTCTTCTGTAGGAAGTTAGGGAAGTGTTCCAGAATGAACAGAGAGAGCGTACGCATGGAGGTTGGGAGCTATAGAAAGAGCAGAGGACTTATGTGTCTATTCTGTTCTAGTTTCCCTTATCAGTAGTTTTTCAGCAAGCTTATTTTTATTTTCTGGTCTGTTTTGCCCAAGGAACGGGTTGGCATTGCTAAATTAAAGAATGTACCCAGGATATACCTCCTCCCTCAGTGCAAGTTTCCTCTTTCTGAGCCTTTTCTCTATCTCCCTGTTTTGTGTTTTTTCTTTGATTTCTTTCCTTTGTTTCTGAGATCCTGGCATTGTGGTTTAATAGAACACAGGATTAACCGGAGGAAACATGAACCCAGGAGGGGGGTTCTGTGTCCAACTCCCCGTATGATTTTTAGGAACGTTTTTAAGTTATTTACTTGGGTGTTTTACTTGTTTGCTCACTTGATCATTGTTGGTCTTCCTCCCTTTCAGCGTTCAAGTTCCTCAAGGTTAGGGACCCTATTCTCCTGTTCCTCACTGGATCTCTAGTTTCTTGAAAGGTGCTCAGCACATAACAGGCCCTGTCTGGCTGGCATCATTGTTACCTTGTGGAGGGAGGAGGAGAAAGGAAGGAAAAAGAAGGGGAAAGAAAGGGTTGGAGGATGTCTGAGGTTCTTTTCTGATCTAAAATTAGATGATTCTCCTCTACTGTATATACTGTTCCTTTAAAAAGACACTAAGTGAAAATATAAGTTTAAGTTTCCATAAGCCGTCTTTACAAAAACTGTGTGGCATATTCCTTTGGTATTTGGCATCCTATTGACTAGAGTGCTATTCTTTACTTCTATGGAAAAATGATAGTTCTTTATAATAATAATATTGAGGCAGTTATCACATCTAGAAATGATTTCTGAATCATTTAGTAAGGCTTAAATTATGCACATTCTATTTGATTTTATTGCATAGTTAGTATAGTCTGTCTTTCTAATTTAGTAACATACTTGTCATATCTAACAACTTTTCTTAGAAAAACATATTTCCCTAACCTATTGGGTACAAAACGTAATGAAGGTTAAGTAGATTTTATATTTTACATACTCTTTGGAACCCATCAGGCTTACAAACTTACTTTGGTATGTGATAGAAATATGATATGAGTATCATTAGCATGGATTCCTAATCCTTTCTTGGGCTGTGTAACGCATTGGCAGGCTGGTGAAGCATTTTTAAATTAAAATATAAATTCATAGATAGGATCAAGAACAACCTGCCAAATGGAAAAAGACAGCCTTGGTGATGTTTCTAGGTTTCGAAAAGCACTTTATGTAACACAAAGGATTGCCCTGCAGAGTAGTTACAGATTGATAATCGATGCC